GGATGCATCGGCGGCGGCGTCCACGGCGAGGAGGTGGTGGTAGCCGCTCCGCGCGGCGGAGGTATCAGCGAGACAAAAATAGGTGCTCGGCTTCTGCTTCTTGGCGGCGCGGACGAGAAACGGGATCAGGCCTTCCATTTTCCGGCGCCGGAACTCTTTTTCTTTTTCTTTTCCTTTTTTCTTTTAATTTTGATTGAGCAATTAATTGGGGGGATTTGGGCGCGGTTTTATACGGTGGGTGTAGTGGGCCAAACACAGAGGTGTAATGACATTTTTACCCTCTGTAGGGGATAATTTTACTGTGTAGACTTTAGAGTGAGTTTTTCGTCAATTGGTGTTGGGGATAAAGGTCAAAAAAGGAACATGCGACTTTGATAATGTGTGCCCATAGATTAGCTGTGCCATTGTTTAAATTGGATTAATATAAATTTTATTTTATTTTTGCCAAATTAATATATACACATAATGTGCATTGATTTAAAAAAAAAAAAAATCAATATTAAAAATTCAAATAATTACACTTACCAATAGGTCAAATGATCTAGTTATTTGTCATTGGTCGTTGCATATATTTTTCGCATACCATCGAATTTTGATATATAAGTGTTTTGTTAATTTAACGATAAAATTTTTAATAAAAGTATAGTCACCGATATAATCGAATGAGCTGACGAGCGACTATATTTTGTGGGGAATAATTGGTCGATGATTATTTTCCTCTAGTAAACAATAAAAGAAATTTAAAATGAGTATTCCACAAATGAATATATGAATAAAATGCAAGAGATTTAATATTACATTTAGTTTTTTTAGTAATAAACTAGCTGTGAAGTGTGATTGAGAGCAATAAAATAAGATAATAATATAGAAATGATAAGATTGGCATTCGTATAATGAATGATTCAAAGTCCAAAAGTATTTAATCAAAATAGAATCTCATTTTGAAAAAAAAAAAAAATATAAGTTCTGATGGCCCGTGTTTTTTCTACAAACAACTGTCCATTATATATTTTATTTTTATTATTTTTATTTTTAAAAATAGAGAAAGTACATATTAGTACCTTTTCATTCAATTTTTATATTTCAAGATAAAATTTCGCCATAGGCTTCTGTCCAGCTTGCTATATCCATTAATCCAGATCTCTCAATTAATGCATAGTTGACTATTTAATAGAAATTAAGTATCGATTATTGTGCTTATTTTATGTAAACTAGTATTTCATCCTGTACATTTGCACAGATATAAAACACGTTTTTGTTTGTATTTATTAATTAGACATGTATTTCTATAATATAAAAAATATTACATTTTCTTAAGTTATTTGTATCATTCGAAATTAATTGAGATTTAAATTTTACTTTAACCATGCAATATTTACATTAGTAACATGAATAAAATAATTTATATATTTGTGGCATATAATTAGAAAATTAACATAAATAAAAAAAATTTTGATTGTTGTTTCTGATTTTTAGAAAGAAAAAAATATGTGTCAATCATATTTTTCTTCTAACAATCAACTAAATATAGCGGTTACAACTCTGAATGTGCCAATCAACTTTAAGTTCCAACATTAGCCGTTACACATTTGAATATTTTGCTATCAAATTTAGAAATAATTTATTAACATTTAATATATATATAAATATATATATATATCTATATATATATATTTTCAGTGTTTAGTAGAATTTGTATGTGTAGAATTTGAAGGTTAATCAATTTTATCTGGTGGTTAATTATAACTAGTATTTGATCTTGTGTATTTGCACATATATAAAACGCATTTTTGTTTGTATTTATTAATTAGACATGCACTTCTATCATATAAAAATTATTACTTTTTCTTAAGTTATTTTTATCATTCTAAATTAATTGAGATATAAATTTTATTTTAACCATTCAACGTTTACATTAGTAACCTGAATAAAATAATTTATATATTTGTGGCATATATTAAGAATATTAACATAAATAAAAAAGATTATTGGTGTTTCAGATTTTAAGAAAAAAAATGTATCAATCATATTTTTCTTCCAACAATGCAACCAAATATAGCGGTTACACATTTGAATATTTTGTTACCAAATTTAGAATTAATGTAGTAATGGATCCAAAAAATAAATACTAAAAATATATATATTAAGGTGTAAGAGTTTTAACAGATTAGTGAGTAATTAATTAAAGAAAATGTAACTCCTTTTAGAGGGAAATGATATAAGTTTTATTAAATGTTTTATTAAATGCATTAGCTAGTAATTATATATATATAGATATAGATATGTAAAATTTTAGTATTTGATTATATCACACGCAAGACTGTGGTTAATTAGTTTTATTAATAATGTTTAATGAAGTTTTAAATATTAAAAAATACTTGTCCAATTTAAATTAGAAATATATTTTAAAATTTATTTATTTTGTTAACTATCTATATATATGACATATTAAATTAATCATTTCTTTAACTTATATTCATATTTTATCCCCATTGATTCCAATATAACCTTGTGCTAATCACATTTTAAGACCTTTTCCCATATGAGATTAATAAGCTGAACACCAACTATCGTATCGACTAAAGCTGCCACTCAAAACACTAGCTTTGAATTTGTATTGTTTATATTAGACATGGCCAAAACACGGCCCGGCCCGCCGGTTTCATGGACCCTAAACCGGTACGGATCTAAGTCGTGCCGGGTCCATGGCCAGACAGGCCGGGCCCAGACCCGCCAAATAAAAAACAAAAAGAAAAAAAGTAAATAAAAACAATGTGTTTTTCTCGTGTCGGACCAGACTCAGTCCAACCCACTGGGCAAGGTCGACGAAAACAAGGCCCTAGACCGGCTCGGTTAAAATCCG